AATTAATATTTACATTTAAAAGAACAGTTAAAGGTGGAGGAGATCTGTTCATTATGTCTGATTGTAAAGACGAGTAAATAGTCACGTTTAATTTTCTGTTTTTAAAAAATAATAATATTAAAGAAAATGGATCTAAAGTAAAACGTGACTGTCAGCTTTGAAAGACAGCGATTTCATGTTGTTATAGTTTTGGTGATTAATATTTTGATGCTTATTGTGTTGCTGGTGCTTTTTGTAATTTAAGTTTCAGTAAATGTATTTTTTTGGGTAACAGATAACATCAGATTATTCTTCTTTCTGCTCCTTTTCATTCAGGAGTGTTTGTGTCAGGTTTAATTGTTTTAACTCAATTAGTGAAATAAAAATTTTAATAAACACATAAATAATTAATATCTACATGAAATGCCTCGATTAGGGATGCTGGATGTTTTACGCTATTCAATACTTTTAATATGTCACTGATGGACTACTGGCAGCTGCACACACAAAATATAATGTTTTTTAAAATTATTTTTTATTTATTTTTTTATTTATTTATTTATTTATTTATTTATTTATTTATTTATTTTACATCAAATCATGTGTGCCACAAGGTTAAATTTTTCTACAATTTTCAGTGTGAGAGAATGCTTCTGCAATAAAAATTTAATTTATTTTAAGGCTTCTTTTAAGACATCTTAACCAGGGGCGCCAATAATTATGGAGGGCCCTGTACGTTGGCCAATATTCTCTGCTGATTGGCCCATTGCAGATGGGTTTGGCATATACTTTTATGCTAATTAGACCACTATCTTTTACAGAATACAATGCCGAAAAAGATTCTTAGGGTAATTTAGAAGCTGTGTCATTACATAGTTTGTCCAGCAGAGCGGCTCCAAGTCCACAGTTTACAATACTGTCTGCAGCACATGTAGCAGAGTACACAACTGAGCAGATGGCAGTGCACAGTCAAGCTTTGTATGCATGGTAGCTGCTAACTAGCTGGTAAAATACATTGCTGTAGAGTGAGTGAACAAAATCCTATTATTTTACCTTTTTTCATGCAACTGCAGCACATACATAAATAATATGAGTTAACATATTGATATCTGTACTTCATACGCCCTTAAATCGGTATCGGCCTCAATAACCCAATATTAATTAATTAATTTAACCTTGATTTAACCAGATAGAGAACCAGTTCTCATTTACAGTGATGATCTGGCAAAAAAACTAAAATATCCGTCAGACGCTACTTAAGCATTGTTTCATTGCACAGGTAGATCATAAAAAGGAGCCAAAAATAATTCATGCAGCAGACGGGAATGTTTTAGCAGGATAATGATCCAAACATACCACACAAATGTTAAAAATATAGTTTGCTGAAGAAAAAATCAAGTGTGTTTTCAAGTAGTTCTTGGTTTAACTGTCCTAATACTTTTTAAGGCAACCATAATTGTGCAGCCAGGAGTGTATTAATATAGACAGAAGGCACAGGTTGTACAGATGAATCTGACTTTTATGTCCAGTAAAAGTGATTCTCCAGTTAGAAACTGTTTCTTTATTCTTTTATCATTTTGAGATACAACATTGTTCTCTTTGTTTTTACTGTATGCCTTCCTTCCCACAACAATTAGGTTTTGTCTGGCGCAGCTGCTTGTCATATTTACTAAAGTAATAAAGCAAACCTTGTCTGCGGTACATGTAGTGAGGTATTGCTTTAACCCTCTGCTGTCAGTTAGTCTGTAACTCCAGTAGCCTGTCCTCCCCTGTTCAGACTCTGTTACACATTACCTTTCAGATAGATGTTATCATCCCAACCAGCCCCCACATGGAACCTGTCACTGAATGACACAACAGCAACACAACCGACCAATCTCCTGGACCGGCTGCTCTTTACAACCGCGGGCCTTCTACAGTGTGCTAAGTTTAAAGTGCAATCCCTGTGCGAAGTCCGTAACAAAAGAACAGTTGGTTTTATAGCGCTCGCAGCCTTCCTGGACTCATTACCAGCCCCTTTGTGTAAGCGCGCTTTGTGTGCACATTTCCTGCTGTTTGAGTTTGAAAATATATCAAAATGCAAAATCAAAAGGAATCCAACATTAAAACAAAAGACTTGAGGAGGCAGAACGGATTAGTTGATTATTAATATGCTACTGTGTCAGAGTGAGGATGACTGTTTTGGGAGTCATTGTGTTAAAAATATCTTTATTGTGGTGGATCATGTTTGGGTAGGAGGGATCGGTTTGCCCCACTGGGCCAGCCCTGTGGGCAGCAGATGAGCCAGAGAGACTTGTGTGTGTCTGAGTGTGTGTGTGTGTGTGTGTGTGTGTGTCTGTGTGTGTGTGCCGAGCTGTGAGCAGAGGAGCCCCGCCAGCCAGCTTTGCTCCAACTGTGCTCTGCACACACTCCAGTCCAACAGCTCGTCTCTTCTGTCTGCTCCAGATGATGCCTTGGATTTAGCCGGCCCACATGAGTGATATGAATAAGACACTGGACGAAATACACACTTCTGGAAGCCTCGGAGAGAAAGCAGAGATTTTTCAGAGTGGCAAGGGTAATGTGAGTGGCTTTCCCAGCCCAGCCCTCATCCCGTTGCAAGACCCTTTCCTGACACCAAATGCCCAGAAGACCAGGACTAAGCCCTGCAAGGGGACCAGGTAGGAAGCATTATGCATTACACTTGACTCTGGCAAATTTATAGGATTCAATCATGATAAATCCACTTGCACTAAAACTGAAAGTAGTGTTCTCTACTCCACACTTCACAGTGTGAGTTGCCCTGCAGAAGAATAGCACAGTCTTTGTATTTGCACGAGTGAGACACAGAGGTCTGTTTGAAAGCTGCAGTGTTGTTTGTCAATTGGCTGGAACCAAACACAGCTGTGAATGAAGTGTAACGCGTTATTCCGCCAGTGCATTTAAAGAACTGGAATCAAATCAAGCACCTGTTAGTTTGTGGGAGATAATTGTTAACTGAGTTTATCGCTGCGCTTGCAGAGCGGTAAAGAAATTGTCCGTCAGAGAACGGCACCTCCGATCTGCAAGTGTGCTTTAATCTGACTCTGCCTTACCTCATCGTGATGGTAATTCAATATGATATAGTACATGATCTGTTTTATTGATTTAGATGTTAGCTCCCTGCAAAGACACGCTGAATGCATTTTAGGGTTACAGTAAGAACAGGACACCTATTAGTGCTGTTCCTTACTGCCCAACAGTTGCAAATAAGAAAGATCCTTTTAGTTTCTCCCCCAACATTTTCAGATTATAACCCAAACTCCTTTACTCATTGATCATGTATCGATCAGGACATACAACACTTTCCTCTGTACTTCCTTTAGCTTTCTAAGCATGGCACTACTCCCATGCGTGTTATCTGTCGTCTTATCAAAAGTCTGTTGGTTAGTGGGTGTGTCATCCGGTAGATGAGAGTAAGAGGAGTTCATGCAAAGGCAACACTGCGTTTCTGTCAGTTTGTTTGTAACCTGCTCCATTTATACTCCCCATTCCTGCACACGGGGCACAAGCAATCACTACAATGTCGCAGGTCATAGCGACTCTTACAGGCAAAGTAGGGAAACAAGTGTTCTGTTGTTTGTTTCAAAAAGCTAATTTTTCACAGAAACTATCTACCAGAGCCAACTCTATTCCGTACTAAATGGATTCAAATACTGCAGAGTTGTGTGTTGTTTTTTTTTACCTGTTGCTTGGAAATTCAACCAAAGCATCTCATACACATTCTGTAATAAGATCTGCTCGCTTCATTTATTCAGCTCTGCAAAAATGTTTCTTTCTCTCTCTTGTCTCTGCTTATTTGTCATTCAGGAGCACCAAAGAGGGAGAGGAGTCCTTCTCTTCCCCTGTTCCAAACCCTTTTCCTGAGCTTCTCCCCTCAACCCTCGCCCCCCTCGTCTCTGAATGTTTATTACCATGGACCAAAAGTAGTGCATCTCAGGTGAGTGTCCCATTTAGTGTACTTGTGAGACACAGTTTTGAGGGAAAAGAAAAAAAAAAAAAAGAAAGAAAAACGAGGCCTGTGCTGTAACCTTCTCCATATGCTTCCTCAGGCTGCAAAGTCATGTAACTGTAATTGGAACAAATGCCAGAAAATAACTGCTGGATGTTTTTTTTTTAAAGTTAAATGAGTGCATAGTTTCACAATGTTTGGCTTGTGATTTGTCTGTAACTTCAGGACATATGGACGGTCCGACCGGTTGTGTGAGTATGGAAATCAGCGAGGAGATAAAAAACGCTGTGTCAGCACGCTCAGACAGTCCACATACATGATATTACTTTCGTGGTCCCGGTTCTACATGCACACAACGGCCACAGAACAACACAAAAGTGGGCACATGTGTGGTAACTTCCCACCTGCAGATGTTGCATTTGAAATTTGATAATAAGTCTGTGGTTTACCCAAGAAATACTTGGCCTGGTGCCCAACGGCACTGCTGTTTGTTTTAGCACAGGGTGTGGGATTATCATGCACTGAATGCTGGTAGTACCTACTGGTGCTGGAGAAAGCTTTCACTCCAATCTAGGTATTGTCAGTTTTGGCAGTTTTGTTATGTGGATTTTTCTTTACTTTGGTAATCAGTTAACTGTGAACCCCTGTACTTCTCATAGTTGATTGTGAAGCTTTCCAGTCTAGTTCACAGTAACAGTGGCAGACTTACTGCTCGAAAACGTGTATTCATTTTGCTTACAATGAGTCTTTGAGCTCACGCAGAAGTAGTTAAAAGCCTGCTTGTTGGCTACAATAGTGGATCAGTGGATTTTGTTCCTGAAATAACAAATGTAACTCACAGCTATGCCTCCTAGCTAAGTCACGTTATCACTTGGCAGAACTCTTTCTACTGTTTCTTGTTGACTATTTTAAACATGACACACATATATAATGGTCTGTATACTTCTACAAACAAGTCGTAATTATCTGACCTGTGACCTCACATTATAATGTACAGAGAAGTGACAAATTAAAGGAAAAACATAAACCCTTGACACCCCGTAGTGACGGCAACCCGGCGGCTCTGTTGTGCTGCAATGCTGGCGTGGTTTACGTCCACTTGTCCCCTTAGAGGGAAGGGTCGCTGTGGATCAATACAAAGTAGTTCTGAGTGAGCACCTTTATCCTGTGATGACACCTTTCTATCCTGGTGGGAGTGGTCTCTTCCAGGATGACAATGCCTCCATCCTCAGGGCACGAGGGGTCACTGACCTTCACAGTCACTCGATCTCAGTGCTGTTGGACACCTATGGGAGATTTTAGACCAACGTGTAAGGCAGAGCTTTTCATCACTATAATAAATGCAAAAATGAGGGAATATCTTTTGGAAGAATGACTTATAGACTCAATATCAAGTAAAGCTGTTCTGGCAGCACACGCGGGTTAACACCTTGCTCAGACATATTCTGTTGGTTTTTTCTTTAATTTGTCAGCAGCTCTCTGTACTTTGTAGGATTTTGAAATTTTCATTTTAGGTAGTTGGCAAATTAGCTTTTTTTTTCTTTTTTTTTCTCACAGCAGACAAATGCACAGTTCAACACATCCCTTATATGTTTTTTTGTCTTGTGGTTCTGGTTGGAAGGGTGATAAAAAGACACAGCACTAAAAAGTCTTATGAAACTGAGTACCTACTGCAGCCACGCCCTCACTGCTTCAACATGGGAAGAAATCCAAAGCCTGACAAGTCTGTCATTGTAGTTATGGTTGCTAAGCTATAGCTGGACAACGGCTGTTTGAGGGCGGGGGTTTAGTGAATGGTTAATTGAAGGGTGAAATTAAAAACAAAAGTCTGCTTGCTATCACTGATGAACACAGCCTGCACAGATGTATGTAGGGGATCCTCAACTTTTACAGAAAAATTGCTTATTTTCCTCTCTTTTATCAGTTAATGCCAATCAGGAGGATATTTATGCACAGCAAAAAAAAACCAAGTTAATTCGCTCTGTGATCTGTAGTTGATTTGTACATCTATACAGAACTTACTGCCAAATCCTAGAAAGAGAACACATTCATTATGTTGGAAAGCTAATCATTATAGGTCTGCTTCAAATGAGCGTGGGTTTCAAAACGGATTTTGCTATACATTTTCCAGGGCTGTTCAATTAGTCTGGTTTACCAACCGCTAGATATTTCCTGGATGTGGGTCTCTATACTGTAAGCTGGGGTTTATTTCAGGTTTTTCCTTGTGGTGTGTGTGTGTGTGTGTGTGTGTGCGTATTCTTGTGTGCATGTGTAGCAGCAGGGGGGCAGCTCAAAGCAGTGACTCATTGAAAAGCTAGAAATTAAAGAGCTGTGCACTTTGCAGCCACCATCAGCAGTATTAGAACTTTCTGTCCTCATGTGTTGCTGAGAATGAAAAGCGCATACAGAAACATTTTGGTTTCATTTTTCTTAAGCCTCCATTGTTCTCAATGTGGGATTAACATAATTGGCATGTGTTCCTCTGCATGCGATGCGGTGATATTGCTTGATTTTCTATCTGTCAAGTGTCTCCACTTGTTACACAAGTCTCAAATGTGCCCTTTAACTCTATTCCCTCACGACTCCGCTGAAGCTTTCGCATCAGTAAATTACGGAGTGATTGCCGATTCTCCTGCGCGCTCAGCAGCCTATTGTGAAAGGCAGGTCAGGGATTCGCACGGATTTGGCATTTTCTTTTGATAAGTGTGAGAATAATCCTCAAGTTTCCTATTGAAGATGCTAAATGACACCCAGTTGACCTCCCCTCTGAAACAATGTGGCTTTCCTTGTAAGCAAATCTTAAAGTGACCCTGGTGTGTCTCACTGATGAGGCCCGTGCCTGCAGCTCGCGGGCCTGACAGCCTCTCACTTAAGTCTTTTCAGCAGCGTTCTTGGAAAGACAAAGGCAGCATGTCAGTCTGAACAGCTGTTTTTATGTCACAATCCTCGTGGCGCAGGGTTACGACCTGCTTTCAGCTGCACTCAAGAAACCAATGACATCATTGTTCCAACCGTGCGGCGCTCGTCCCCCCCCCCTCACCCACCGTTCGATCTCTCCCATAAAGGAAAATCGTCAATCTGGCTTCCCAGTGTTGTCTTTTCGGTAGTAATTTTCTCATCAGTCACAATTATCTGAAAATAATAATATTCTGCTAGAGACAGATTTGATTATAAAATAAGCGGGCAAGGAGAACGGCAGTGATGTCTGTCATTTTGGTCTGTCAAACAACATGTCTAGCTGCCTGCATGTTGGCTTCATTTGAATGGCTCCGCTAAAATGTGGCAGGACCCTTTGCTTGACATTGCTTTGACAGACTTGAAAGCTATTTCAATTTTGAGAATATTAGTTTATCTCAGCCCCCTTTCAGCTGCAGTGTTACGAAACATTTTCATGACAAAACATCCGAATCATAGGTGCTGCGTTATGTTAGTGGAGAACTGTATCTGCTGCCTCCACAGAAGAAGATTTCTCAATCTAAGCTGTAATTCAGTTGAAAATGAAATGAAAGTATATTGTTATATGTACAGAGGGTTGTAACAACTGTAAATGTTTGGACAGATCGGTATGTGTGGTGAACACATTGTGTGTCCTCTGCTGCTGGAGCGGTTTCAGACATACAGCTGTGACTTTATTCTTTTGTGAAACCCTTAAATCCTTCAGCACTTGAGAGGTTGACCGCAAGAACAGTGCCCAGGGTTTAGCATCAAAGGCTGTCACGGCAGACACAATTACACGAAATATAGCATGACACGACGATGCTGGAAGTATTGGTGGATCGCAAAAGCTGTCATGCTACCAGTTTGTCATTGTGCAGATAGTTCCATGTTGCTATTGTTATGTCTGAACTCCATGTCCACCAGCTCCGTCCCACTGGTCCAAGAAATGTTGCCGCTGCGCCCTCAGCCATCCTGATTAATTATCGCCGACTCTATTATTAGACACATTAAACAAACTGTTTCTCAGCTGCCAGGGTTCAAGATATTCTAGACCAAATTTAGTCTGTCCTGGCAGAAAGTCCCCCCTGGCTGGATAGCAAGTCTCCACACCTGGCTTCAGCCAACATCCCCAACTCGAAATGCTGCTTTAATTCACAATTTAACACTTTGCTGAAACACTTTCCTCTTTAGGGCAGATTGTCAGAAGTGAATCAAAGTTGAATTACGTTGCTCAACATTTGTTTTAAAGGGTTTCATTATGACTTTTAGGTTTTGAGTTACGGACAGGTGACGATAGCCACTTAAATGAGCTTTGTCCTTTTTTAAAATCATCTGGACACACAGCAGCTGTACGGATGAATGAAGCGATCCGTTGCCTTAGAAGAACCCATAAGGAACCTAAATGGAAGTGCAAATCCAGGAACTTGCAGGTTCATTACTTGCTGCGCCAAGAATCATTAATCGCTATGTAAGTGTAAAGGATCCTGGAGACCAGTATTTCTTTCAGCTAATAAATGCCAACCAGCACAACCTCAGAACCTTGTTCAACACCATCAGTCAGCTTGTAAACCCTCCTCTCACCACCAGCTGATAAAATCCTTAACTACATCATTGAGAAGCTCTTATTAGGTCACTCCTCTAGAGTTAGTGGTGGATCTCCTCTTTGGTTGAATTGTTTTAGGCCAATAACGCTGCATACTGTCTTTAGGTTCCATTGATGTTGTCACTGTGGGCTAATTTTTCCCTGAAGTCCTGGACTTCTGAGAAAACAAAAACAGACACAACTAAAAGTAGAGAGAAATTTTAAATTGGCTTTTGTACAGTATGACACAATGCTAATGTGATAAATCATAATAAAAGAAAAGTTTGACTTGATTTGATTATTCATTTACAGAATTTAAAACACCTGGAATCAACATGTACAGCATTTTCCAAGTGTCCAAAGTTGAATAATAATGGGGGCTCCAATTAATGTAGATTTTTTGCTATTTACATTTTTACAACCTCTGCAAACTCTAAACACTGGACAGATATTTCACCATGCTGA